AAATGTTAGCATTTCAGTTGTAAGAAAATCATGTTTATTGTAGAAATTGTTAGCATTTCAGTTGTAAGAAAATCGTGTTTATTGTAGAAATGTTAGCATTTCAGTTGTAAGAAAATCATGTTTATTGTAGAAATGTTAGCATTTCTTTCACACTGATTTTGAACATAGCATAAAATGTTCTATGATACATGGTGTAACTCTCTTTAATTTTCCTTTTTCAACTCTGTTGTTTTGTGATCAGCAATCAGCCTATTAGTATTTTAATTATTAATAATTTTACTATTGTACGGTGACCTAAAAATTAGTCACTCCCCCTCTTTCATTCAGTTGTTTTTCAGATATTAGGATATAAATCATCATGCTCATGAATTTTCAAGTTTTTTTTTTACACCAAACATTATAATAAGAAATTTCATCATTAATCCTGACATTTCTTACTTCATTGTTTTTTTTAACATCAATTTAGTTGTTTATGTTTGGAAATAAAATCTGTCTGAAACTGCATAAAAGTAAAATACATAAAGAATACTTAGAGAGAAAGATCAGAATATTAGAATAAAAAGAAGAGTTTTAGTAAAAAAAAAAGAATTCAAGTTTTCCTACATTATTCATCTTGAATTATGGTTTATATATATGTATATAAATGTATTACAAAATTGATTCACTGTTATAATTGTTTTCTGATTGAAAAAAGCAAATGTTGAGAAGAATGTGATTGTAATATATTTTTTAAAAGTAATTAAGTTGTAGAAAGTAAAGCTATTTTAAAACAAGAAATGTTTTCCAATCGTAAGATGCTTTAGGAAAAAGCATAAAATGAAAATTGGAAGTATTTGTAATTTGAAGAATTAGAAGCTACATTAGTTGAAGAGGAGAAAAAAAAAACACTTCTATACTGATCATCTTTCTCTAATAGAAAATATTTCAAAATCAATTTATTGTAGTAGTTTTATGTAATAAGGAAATATCAGGAATAGTGATTACTCTGGTAAACGTGGCATCTAGTATTCAGTTCACAATCACCATTCAGCATTTATTTAGGTGTTTTATATCATTGCTACCATAACTAGATAACCTGATGTTGTAAATTGTAAAGTAACAAATAGACTTGGAGTTTTACAAACAGAATTGTTATGTAAAATTATACAGCACATGTGAAACAAATTATCTACTGATGACACTGAAAGATGACCACTCTTTAATTCTTGGTTGGAATAGAAATTTTGTCAGAGCCAGAGACCAAAAGAGTTAGAGGCAGACAGCAATTTATAGTTACAGCCTCACAGGAATATTATTGTTATTCTTAACATATCTAATTATCAGTGTAATGATACATAAAAGGACACTTATGTGTTGTTACACATTAGAAAATCAGTTTATATTTTTACTGTATTAAGTTATAAGACAAAAGTTAAATGAAAATGATGAACCTTTACAACTGTACTGTTATTGTACTCTCTTACCCTCTTGATAAGGTTTAATTTTTGCCAATTTCGAACTAAGAAAATTTAGCGTGATCTTAGTGGTTTCAAATACTTTGTTTTTTTAGTTTCTGACAAATTATCATTCATGAAAGACACTGATGTTTCTTAAAACTTCATCCATTCGTAGTATTCATTACAGAATTGCATCTGAAATTACTTTTTTCTTTCAAATGATTAATTTATTGAATATTTTTTAAGCTAAGCTGTAAGATATTTTAATGATATTTGTACTTTGGAATTAAATGTTTAACATTTTTTTTTATCCTGGCAGTTTTTATACATACAAAGATGAGGACTGTGTCTGTTCAACAGTTAATTGAATTGCAGCAGAATAGGAAGAATATAAGAAATATATGTATTTTAGCACATGTAGACCATGGTAAGTTTTCGTTTTTCCCTGGCAGTTATTTTGATTTAAAGTAATTATCTCCTAAGAAATAATTACTAATCAAGGGTGCTCGAAGATTAAACAATCCTCCTTCACCCTGCTCGTGGCAAGAGGTTACGTTTCGTTTAGTGGTCACCGGAGTATTGAGCCGTATGGGCAAATGATAATTAATTAATTAATTAAAAACAATAATAATAATGGTAAGTTCTGAAAGTTTAAATATTTATGGTTTGTGGAATAGGCTTCTAAGCAGGAGGTTTGAAAATACATAAATCATTTGAAAGCTGTAACATTAGATACAATGTTGGTCTTTTATCATAAAAACTTAAGAAAATGCAATATGGCA